TTTTTTATACATGAATTTTTTGTAGTTGACTATTTTTTCAGCTCAAGTGAAGGGAGTAAAAACGAAGCTTCGTCATCTGGATCAAATAATGAGACAACTCCTCGTGTAACCAAATCTGTCCTAAAAATCAGAAGCGCTGGACATGAGGATGATCATGATTATTTGAGTTCTTCAGAGGGGACCAGACGATGCGTGAAGTTTCGAGATGGCATAACTCCTGGTTCTGTGGATGCAGAGCCTAGCACTTCATCTGCACCAGATTCATCCAGATCTTCCTCAAAACCTAAGAAGGTTGTTTTAATGCATTGTTGGCCGAATTGTTCGGCTGTTTTTATTAGTTCTTTCAAACAGACACTTACTAGCTAAATTGGCAACTCATTTTAAACGACCTCTTCCGTTTGAAAAATTCAATTGCCTTTCATGCTGTTGAATTCGATACAATTGAAATAATATCCTAGACTCTAGAAACCTGTAATACTGACAGGTTTTTTGTTAAATTAGAAGAAAAGTGGCCATTTTTTATTTCTTAGTAAATCTAGTTATTTTTCAGATACCTACGTCTGTGTCAAAACGTTTGAAGGAACTTCGAATGGAAGAAGAAAGCGTATGTTTTTTACCAGAGGACGTCAGTGGATCTTTATATTACAGAACTGTTAATGGTACCATACAAAAATATGGATCACTAGACGAGGTTACGGAATTATTTTCTTCTGGAAAATCCGTAATAATTGCTGTAACGCGTAATCTGTGGTGCGAAGTAAAACTATGTGAACGTAAGTTTAAGAGTTATGGACCCTTACTTTGAATTTGGAACAACCATTTTGGTAATCTTTTTTTTTAAAAGTCGTTTTTTTCTTCAAGTCATGAAAAGTCAAAAATTTCCAACAGCGGAATGCCACTGAATAGTTTCCTTTTGTTTATTGATTCAGCAAGACTTCAGTGGCGTTTTTGATTAAACTTCCTATGGTTTTTATTAATTTTTATTTGTATTCTTTGGCGCTAGTTTCAGTCTTTATTCTCCTTCTTTTTTCTTTTTATCACATCATTTAGCTGAAGTATTTTTAGTTTCTTGTTGCCTTGTTGGAAAGGTGGTTTGTGTGGTGTCGTGTGGTATGTCGGCAGTGGGCTTGGATGAGATTTTGATCGCTTATAATTTTTACGAGGAGGATGATTTTTCGGTTCCTTTGGAGGTTGTTCGCAGGGTTAGTTTTCTGACTTTAAGTCATCACTTTGTTTTTGAATCGTTTGTTTATTTTCAAAGATCCAAATAGGGATCACAACTGTAACTTTGATTTCCTGGCTTTTATGAGTTAATAATAATAATTTCAAAACATATATTGTAGTTATTTCTTTTTAGATTTACGCAATTTGTATGAACAGTTTAAAGCATCAGGATATATCTCCATATGGAAAAATGGGTATTCGTGAAGCGCAATGCCGCGTGCCAAGCTTTCATCCTTCTGATCAAAAAGCAAAGGAGGAATTTATGTTTCGAGATCTTCTTTTGTTTCGACCATCTGTTCAGGTCTCGTTTAGCCACCAGCTAAATATACAAATGTGTGATTATTGGCGGGCATAATCTTGAGATTTTCAGTGCTTTGAAAATCTTTTGATACCTCAGTCACCTTTTTTGGTGGGATGCTTTTTGCACCATGGCGAGTCTGTATGGGCAATGGCGATACCTCAGAGATTGCTGTATCGTATCGGGCATCATGCATCTTGTTTGTTTCTTGATCACTCAACACTGTTTATTTTACAAAATTTAGTTACTGGGAACATCTTTTTTCTTACTGTGATATGATTTTCTGCCTATCGCTATTTGATCCTAAACAGAATGGTAATGAAGATT